CAACCCCTCTCCCCTGGTCTCCTCCCCCACCCCCAGCTCCAGCAGTGAGGCCCAAGCAGCTTCCACCCACCGGGCCTCACCAATCTCGTCCACCCCCCTCCCCGTCTCCTCCCTCCCGGTTCTGGCAGTGAGGCCCGAGCGGCTTCCAGCCACCAGGCCTCGCCAATCTCGTCCACCCACCTCCCCGGTCTCCTACCCCACCCCCGGCTCTGGCAGCAAGGCCCGAGTGGCTTCCAGCCACCGGGCCTCACGATCTCCTTCTTCCCTTTCCTCCGGCGGTCTCCTCCTCTCCTCCACTGCCGCCGATCTTCTCCTCCCTCCCCCCACTCCTGCAGTGAGGCCTGAGCAGCTTCCAATCGCCAGTCCGCAGCAGAGTTCCCAGAGCGTTCCCTGCGCATGCACAGGGAAGGCTCTTTTACTTTGGGGGGGATTTAAATATTCCCCCTATATTTTTTCAACTTTTTAGATTTTTGTGCACACCTGAGGACTGCCCAAGTGTGCAGGAAAATCTCCCTGCCCCCCAGGTGCCCCCGATGTGCGGATTTAGATATTCGCATGCAGGGGGCGCCTTCGCTATTAGATATATAGATAGTTTTGACTACTCTAACCTTCTGCGCCTAGAATGACATCAATCCCTTTCTGATTTGTACATCTAAGTTTCTATTTTTGATTTATTATGAAACACACACACACACACACATCTTTTCCTTCTGTGCAGAAATGGAGGTTGAAGCTTGGATAAACATATTGATCACAACTCAAGCATATATATTATGAAATAACTGTTGCTGCATAAACTCTTGAGTTCTCCAATTTGCCTTGCTTTGATTCTCAGAATCTGGTGGGTTTTTAAAAACTTTTTACTATGTCTTTCTCCGGACAACGTGGACTCGGGTGTGTGCCAGTCTGTCAGAGCGTTTGAAAATAATTTGTGCACAGAGTTGGATGAGATGACCTCTAGGCCTTCCACAAGCCTTATGATTTTAAACTTCACTCTGAAAGTACATTGCAATAGACAGTTGGCAACATTCCTGGATTTTAAAAATTCCTAGGGCAAGAAAGCCCAGATATCTTTCAATGACTCTTGAGTTAGCATCATTTTCAGAAAGGGAGAGCCAAACAATTTTCCTGTTCTCCCACCCCTAAGAAACAATAATTCCATATGGAATTAAATCACTTGTCATCAAATAGCAGCCACTAAGTGAAACAAAGCACATCTGAAGTCTTATCAATCAATCAAATTTATTGTTACAGTCAACGACCAGTGCACACAATCATTTTACATAAAAACATCTGAATAAGAAATATGAGATAAAACCAACAGTGACATACTTAAATTTAAAAATCTGTGACTATAACAAAGAGATAAAATAAGACAGCCATAAAACTCATATATAATTTGGGTAAAAGATTAGAAAATCTAATTGCCATGCATTTTACGCTCCTTGTAAACCTGGGCACAAAATCTAGCCACCTGTCTTGTTGTCTGATGGTTCCTGTCAGACAGGAGGTAATCAAATTTAATTTTATTTCATCTGCCAGGAATCCTTTCTAACAGCAGACAGTCTCCATACGGATCACCCTATGGTATACGCAGTTGAAACAGATGTGTTCTAGAGAGTCTATTTCATGGAGGGGGCAGGAGCAGAAAGTGAGTAAGGGGTTCCTTTACGCCGCCCTTCCAATACTGCAGACAGCAAGTTTTGGCTAATGTGAATGCCCTTATAGAGTTATTGGATTCAAGAAAATGTAAATAGGCTACAAGAGCGACTATATATCTGGTATTTGCTGGAGAGAAATAGCCAGGAGAACTGAGAATATCCAATTGTCTTTCAGTGTCAGTCACTCTCTGCTTAATGAGTGATTTTGCCTGGTCTATACCAAAATCCAGAAGGGCTTGGGGAGAAAAGCCTACTTTCTGGATGGAATTCAAGATTGCTCTATGTCAATTGGACTGAAATTGGTCCTGAAGGATTAAAGGGAACAGACACCTGTTACCCATTTATAAATCGAGAGGATACAAATTCTAGGCTCTACCTGAAGCATTCCTGTTTCCAATCTGAGCCAAGTGTTTGACACACACTTAGGTACTTGTAATAATGTTTTAAGGAATTTAGACTGGGCTCTCTCTAGTGGGGTAAAGGAGGAAGATGGTGGCCCCAGGAAAAAACAATCTAAGAGCAGGCAGAACATAGTGCCCCCAGTGAGACCAATGAAATTTCAATATACTATTTGCTGTTTTCTCTCCTGCATCAGTTGCACAACTACAATAAATTATATTGGTGCCGGAAGCTTGCAATACTATGCCAAGATATTTGAAGCTGGAGACTTGTTCCAGCTTATGCCCCTGAAGTTCCCATCCTCTGAGAGTTTTTCCCGAAAGCCAGAACCTTAGTTTTCTGATAATTAATTATAAGATGTTCAGTGTCACAGTAAAGGGAGAATTTTTTCAGAGCCCATTTCAGCCCTATGGGAGTTCTGGAGAGTATTATAGCATCATCCGCGTATAGTAACACTTGAATGTGCTGATCTGCTAGTTTAGGGGGATGAAATCCATAAAATTTGCCAGATTATTGATGTAAAAAAGAAACAAAGAAGGGGCTAGGAGACAACCCTGCCTGACTTTCTTAAGAGGTTTGGACAGGGTCAGTCAGATGCCCTAGATGACTGCACCTAACTCTAAGGACAGTTTGCCTGGATGAGAAATAGCAGTTGTTTATCGATTGTGGAAGCCTGTAATTTCCCCCAAAGCCTAGAAACTGTGCCAAAGGCTGCTTTTAGATCTACAAATACAGTCTTATCGATTTCAACCAAACCTGAAATAGGAGAAGATAGGCAAAGAAACCAGAACCCCCAACTCTTGCACTTCGTACTGTCCAATAGAATGTACACAGAACATGGCAGACCAACAGGGATAAAAGCAAAGATGATGCAGTAGATGGGAATAGGACCCACAAGGTAAGGCATTTGGCCAAAACGTTAGAGCAAGGGTGTCAAACCTATGGACCAGAGGCTGAAACCAGCCCACCCAGGACTTTAATCCAGCCCACAAGCAAGTGGCCAGAGGGAGGAAGTGGAGGGAACTATCATTTCAGCTACCATGGGGAGCATGCATTTTGCGGCTCTCCCCCCCCCCCGCCGAATGAAGTGGATGGGGTCAAAAAACCCTTCTCTCTTTCCATACAAACCCCACCCCCTCATTCCTTGGGTCCACCTCCCCCGCACCTTACTACTGCATGTCTGTGTATGTGTGAAGCAAAGTTTGAGTCCAGTGGCACCTTAAGACCAACAAAGTTTTCTTCAAGTTATGTGCTTTTCTGTGCCTTGCTACAGTGTGTGTATGTTCTGTTGGGCTCATTATGCTGTGGTTCTCCCAGGTGCAACTGGGTCCACTTCCCTCTCGCCTCCTTCTCCCCCTCGCCTTGCTACTGTGCACATGTCTGTGTATATGCAAAGTTTTGAGTCCAGTGGCATCTAAAGACTGACAAAGTTTTCTTCAAGATATGAGCTTTCTTCTGCCTTGCCTCTCGCTTTCGCTCTCTCTGTTCTGTTCAGCTCATTATGCTGCAGTTCTCTCAGGTGCAACTGGGCCCACTTCCACCTCCCCTCCTCTTCCCCTCACCTTGCTACACTGTGCGCGTCTCTGTGTGTGCAAAGCAAAGTTTGAGCCCAGTGGAATCTGACTGACAAAGTTTTCTTCAAGGTATGAGCTACCCTGTGTCTTACTACTCTGTGTTTTGGGGGGCTGGTTATGCCGTGGCTCTTCTGGGTGCAACTGGGTCCACCTCCACCTCCCCTCCGCCTCCTTTTCACTGTATTCATGCCTGACTCATAGGAATTGTAGTTATTTTTTTCTGGGTAAGACTGAAGTTTTGTAGACAAACACTCGAGTTTAATTTTGTTGACTCCCCACTCCAGGCAGCAGGGGGGCATCAGTAACAAAATATTGTAAGA